ACATCCTGAATACTTGGTTTTGAAATTAAAAAAAAAAAAAAAAAAACTTTAATGCTGTATGATCTAACATCATCTTGACTATATCTTAATGTTAACATCACTAATAAGCTTATGTTTTTTTTAATGCATTATTTTTTAAAAAAAACATGATATATTTTTCATGTTGTATGCTTTGTCTTTGCATGTGCACATATTTGCCATAATAGAGACGTTATCCAATTAGATTGGTTCCATTATGTTTCATGAATATATTAAATTTAGATGCTGATAAAAATTTGCCAGGTTCAGTACCAGGAAGCTGGTTGAATGTGCCAGTCAGTTATCTTAACAATGCATTTAAGTGATAAACTATAATTTAATATAATAAGGAAATTAAGATAACGCTCCATGCTCAAAAAGTAAAAGTTGTCTAACTTGTTGTTTTAGAAGTTCAATAAAATTTTGAGAATTTTTATTTGGACAGTGAAGAAAATATTTTTTTTTTCAAAATAATTGACTCGAGGCAAGTTTAAAATTGTACAACTCATATTCTAAGTTCAATCTTTTTGAAATGTGCTTCCTGTCACTTCTCTTAGCAGTTAGTATATTTTTTAATTTGTAAAATAATTCCACCTAGCTGCACCAGGAGGGTGGGTTTAATTCTGTTACACGTCTGTTTTTAGTTTCAAATCAACATTCTTATGACCAACTCACAATTTTTATTATATCATTAGGTTGTCAGGGTTTTTTCTCTTCCAAGTTTTTATTTTTATTTATTTATCTATTTATCTTTTATAAATTATATTTCCAAGATTAATTAAGAAGACCTGTTGGTCCGCAAGCAGGTAAACTTATTTAAGTGTCAAGCATCGCAAGTCAAACATGACATGTGGTATGGAAACTCTTGACAAAGTATGTCAGTCACAACCTTGAATCTTTCTCTTGAAAGTAACAACACGAGGATCCCAAATCAAAAAAATGTTAAAATATATGCAAAGATACCTCTTTTTTTTCTTTGTTTTTTTTTTGTTTTGTGAAATATTTTGTTTTGGAAATTTGAGGAAAAAAATATACACTAACCATGACAGACTATTCGTTCATCAACACATTTTAAATTATATTTATATTCCATCCATTGTGTCATTCTGTTTCAGATGTATCGTTTATGCACTTTGAAAATATTTTATGTTACATGGCTTTTTCAATTTTGAGATTGTGCTTGAAGTCTTGAAATAGAGACCAGGCCTTTCAAAATTGTATTTTGGGCAATGAATGTTATTTCAACCTGAAAGTGAACACAGGTCAAAATACGGCAGGCAGGAGGGTGTGGAAGGAAATTGGAGGGGATGGAGGCGGAGGCCGAAGGAAGAATCAAACCTGCTTATTCATCTTCATTTTAACATAGGCCAAATATTTGCCACTTGCCACTGACATTGACCTCTGTAGTCAATACTGCACAGCTTTCTCACCCCCCCCCCCCATTTATTTTCTATTACCATTTATTTATTAAGTTTTTCTATACAGCCTTTATAACCAATATTTGCCCTCATCAGGAGCTCTGAGAGTTAAATTTGCATGTTTAACAATACTTATTTCACTCACCTCGGACACTTTTTAAACAAATTATTGTCTCTGTTTTTATTTAAAATAATTTAATTTTTTTTAAATTAAGGTTTTCATTATTATTGAATATTTGTCATTAATTAAGCACTTTCCTTGCTGACTTCAGCTAGGAAAGTGCTTAATTAATTAAGACATTTAGAATTTTTATTTTTTTAAGCAACAGACCACTGATGGAGTAACCTCGAATCCATTTCCTTAGGTTAAGTCCCTTTATATTCTGTTTTCCAATAACAAAAGCTCTCCAGGAGGGCTTCGCATTATCAGGGCTTCTAATTCATGTGGCTGAGTCTTTCATTTATAACTTCTGTTTTTTAACACCTTATTTTTGTGTGCTTTTTAAAAATACTCCACTTTATTTATCCAAATAGTTGGTATAAAATACACATTAACAGTACATAGCATAAGAATGTATTTTTTTATTTTAAACATTGTTTTATTTCAATTTTACTTGTAATTTTTTTTTTTAATCAGTAAATAAAGATCAACATATGGTCATTTAATATATAAATGTTTTCAATTAATAGAATTAAAAGTGAAAAACTGAATTTTTTAAGGTTTTTTTTTGCTTCAGACTAGGGAAATTTTTAATAGAGCCATCCACTTTAGATATATATGTTACGTCCCAAATACCGGAAACACATTATCTATAGAGGAAGATTAAAACAAATTTTTTCCTTCTCATTTTCTCAATGTTTTAATCTGAAAAATGGGTTTTTAAAAAAAATGATTGTATGGTTCTTTTAATTTTCAAGAGAGTAACAATGTATTTAAAAAAAAATACTTTGATCACATTGAAGCCATACTGATTTCTTTATCCGCCAATCTTACTCATTTTTATTATGTGGTAAATTATTTGACTCCCCACAAGTCTTAATGAAAGATACACAGGAATTTCTATTACAACGTTTATTGTAGCTCCTCAATGATTTAACAATATATGACTCCGAAATATTGTACCATGCTTATTAAAATTACATAATACATAACCGATATTGAAATGTGTATTTAACTTTTGCTGGGTGCTTGAAGTTTGAGAGTTAAATTTAAAGTTGTTCAATATTTTTGTTTATTTTAGAAGGATTCAGTACCGTACATGTTCATTATAGCAGCGTGATTAGAATTTAAGCTTTAACCCATTTTGATTGCATTGAGTCATTCACCTTTTAGATAGCTGTAGTCTGTCACTTTCACTAATGGTACAGGCAAGGCGAATCACTTTCTAAAATCATGGCCCATTTAATATTCACTCATGTCAGAGATTAGATAATGCCCAGAGAACTTTCTCCTACATAATAAATATCCTGATTCAGCCTTACATCATAACTGAGAAAAGACAAGTTTTAATATGTTGCAATCATGAATGCAGTCAAATGAACCAATCTCAATTAAAAATATATATGCAGCCTCAAATGACCCTCGACATTGTTTTTATTCATTTCAGCAGAAAGCAAACTTAATTAATCCTCAATGTAAATTGTGTAATTTACTTATTGAAAGAAAAAGATAATAGCCATAGATGATAAATATGTGTATAAGACAAGCCATAAATGATAATTATATATATGTGTAATTTTTCTTATGCTCATTAGTGTTCAGGTTTATTTCTTATTAACAGTATGACTATAAAATAAAATTATATATTTTTTACTTGTAATAAATCCATTGCTTTGTTATGTCAATATACTTTTCAGGAATGGATTCCCTTTAACAATCTAGCAATTTAAAAATGATTTAATTTTTTAAAATTTAAATATCACATTTAAAAATAAAAGGGAAATCAATCAATAATTGCAGTTAATGTATTAACAAATGAATATTGTAACAACCAGACTTGTTTGCTCAAACAGAAGGACCATTTTTACACATCAGTGACTCACACAGCTGATCAAGTTCATCTCATCAATTTAACTTCTCTGTTTTGTTTAGATTAATAAGATTGATATTGGTCAAAATATAGGTTTCCGATAATTGCTGTCAATTTAATTAATCTAACAAAGTGTCATGATGGGAAGCGCAGGTTTTTAATAAGAAAACATATGAAGTTAAATTTTTAACATTCTTATGTTTCAATTTTTTTTTACATTTATCCTCATGCTTCCTTTGAATCGAACTTTTTTACTGTGTGTGATGTAAGCAGAGTTTTGTATGGGGTGCTCCACCATGTAGGGTGTGCACTGAAAGTCTTGTGTTCAACAGTGCAATTGATACTACTGAAACTACCCTCATCCTCACATAATATAATAATGATTATAATTTGGATTGGGTCAGATGGGGAAGACAAGAGCTTGGGAACTCTGATTTCAGCTAAAGGGTCCTTGTCCTAATCAGATCTGTTGTATTTTAACTCAGAAACAATGAACGTCATTACAAGGTTTAAGACTTGTGGTCACTACTTTTTTTTTAAAAATATATATTTTGTTTTAAAGTATTAAGTTCATTACAAGGTTCAAGACTTGTGGTCACGGTTTTTTTTTTTTTAATTTTTTGTTTAGTTTTTTGCTCATTTTTTCACTGCTTATTTTATAAAAAAATCAACCTTATTCTTTTTCTTCCATTATTACCTAAGGAACCATGTTTTATTTTTTATTTTGCCTGTTTAAAGACTTGTGGTCACGGTTTTTTTTTTTTTTAATTTTTTGTTTAGTTTTTTGCTCATTTATTCACTGCTTATATTATAAAAAAATCAACCTTATTCTTTTTCTGCCATGATTACCTAAGGCACCATGTTTTATTTTGTATTTTGCCTGTTTCTGTTGTAAGCAACTATTCTGATGAATCAAAACAAAACAAAAAAAGAAA